ATGTTCTTTAAAGCGCCCACCTTCCTGCATCAATGTAAAGATCATTTATTACTCGATGACTACATATGTAACTATGCGTGCCATGACGACATGTGTGCAGCTGATAGGCATATGTGCTAGGTGATAATGAAAAATAGTGTATATTGATACAAGTGTAATTTAACAATCTACATATTTACCCTTACTGATTGTCACACGCTGATATGCCGTAAATATCACGTCCTGAGCTGGCTCAGTACGATCATGTACGATTACTCACAATACCAAAAATAGAACAGAACCAAGTAGCACACACACCAACATCAAACATACCGTATACGGTGTTTCGTAGGTACCGAGACGGCCAACTTTTACTCAAATATAAATGTAAACATATAGTCGGTTTGCCGGCCCTATATCTCCTATATGTTGATCAAAACCCTGAATTTAATTACTTTGAACTTTTTTCATGGAAATGTGTTCTATATAGTTAGGAGAGGCTGATTTAGCTTGGTTGCTACCTGTGCAACGTTGAGCATTTCTTGGGAATTCAAGATGGCCGCCGCCGCCGTCGATCTTGGATTTTGGTCAATTTACAATTTGTTATCTCGATGCCCTAGAGTGTCATGCAATACCTCTTTTTAGGGGATTTTCGAGGAGAGGGAGTCCATTTGCTGGAGTTATTTTTTAGATAGTGGGTCAATGTCAAGGGTCAAATGACGGTCAACGGTCAAAATAAGACACTTTAAATGTAAATTCCATCTGTTCATAGATAGTATATATGGCTGACTACTACGAGCTTGAACAAAAACATTACAAGACCAAATGGATGAAACACCCACACCATGGTCATGGAGTTCACCCAGCATCCTGCCGGCAATCATCGAGACAGGACATTGGTGTGATGCAGCTCACGATCCCCGAGTCAAGAAACACGAGGCATTCTCTCAGCAACTCATAGCCAAGCAGGCTATACAGCTGCAGCACTACACAGGACCTTCCAAGCTGAATCACCTCTGATTCCAATGAAAGCTCTCTGTCCGCAGAAAGAGTCACAGGCTTCAAATCCGCTGCAGTGAGTTTCAGTCAGCAGCGAGACGCAGCCTGGCTGTCGCAAGTCCATGAGAGTGGACAAGCCTGTCGAGTGAGACGGGCTTCAATGCTCAGCAAGACCGACTAGTGGCGGGCTCTGCCCATAACGCCCAAGACACTGGTGGTGTTTGGACGCGATGATCGATTCACCACTGCTCACCCAGACACCGTTCTGACTACGCTCCTGTATCTCGAGAGGACTCTCAAAACTTTCGGGATGCAGTACACCCACCTCTCTGTGATCCCAACTATATCAGACTGCAATGCCTAGTCCAATGGAAAGACCCTCAGCGCTGGTGGACCAATTTATACTTCACCCGGCATGATGCACACTCTCATGAGTTTCCTGGGCTGTATAGGGACACTGATGAAGGCATCTGTGCGTGGACGTTCTCATGAGCGCAGCGTTTGGTGGCATGACCAGCATCATCACCGGGAAGACCTGAACCAAAGGCTTACGGGCATACGTCTCATCATCGCCGTGTTGCGGCCGAGTTTCTACTCAAATGGTGCCAAGACATACCAAGAGCTGAGTGACTACCTGGAGACAGCCAGAAAAACCCCAACTGGGAGGCTATGGGTGGACTGTCTCATCAAGCCGACACTGCTGACGCTCATGTTCCTGCGTGGAGAGCGGAATGGTGACTTTCTCCTCCAGCAGCACTGTCTCAAGGCAATGCTGCCGTATTTCTTCGCAGCAGGTCACCACAATTATGCCCGCTACATGAGCTGCGTATGTGCGACAGATGGCAGCACCTTCCCCAGCGTGCCCGGGAGGACCTACTGGCACGGCGCACATGATCTGTCGGCATTCTGATGGCGGGACGCGCAGTTCCAGCAGATCAGTTCGGCGAACAGACATATATCAAGCGAGGAAGGGTGCTGGAGGTATGAAGGGCATATCGACGAGCGCCGAGCAAGTGGCTGTGTGGGTCAACAGTTTCAGTGTGTGTGCCCACCGTCGACATCGCCATGGAAGATATGTACAGTGAAGGCTGGCGGATGAGGAGAAGCCACGTGGTTGAGTGGATAGAGAGAGAAGAACAAAGCACAAGGAGGAAGGAGAGGAAGAAGAAGACTGGATGAGTCGATCGGAGGAAGATCGGAGCCAGAGCTGGAGAAGTACACTCACCGCCCTTCAACGTAGCAGCCATCCAGGTCTCTATAACATCTGCAAATGGCCAAGTGGCGCCCGACACAGTGAATGTTCAGGATGCAGCGACTATCGGGAGTGAGCAAAGCAAGCAGTTTTCCGCTTCACTAAGTAGTGACTTCCACAAACCAACAAAGAAAATGGTCAGAATTAATGGAGGGCACTCAGAAGGCAGTCACTGTCAAGAGGAAGGCCATCTACGACATCGAGACACTGTTTAGTCGGCTGTGTTGTCTTGGGGCAGCCAGGCGGAGCGTGTGATCTACTGCCAACATCTTCCAGTTTGAACTGAGTCCAGTCCCAGACATCCCTGATTGATGAGTATGGATGTTTGAGGAAGGGCCAACAAGGCCGTGCTCGTCAAGTGTCTCGGTGTTTCTGTCAAGACTCCACCTGCTCCAGACGTGGTGTTGGTTGACGCCGGTCAGCTGCTGTACCACGTTGTGTGGCCAGTCGCTGGGACCGCAGGAGATCTGGCTGCAAGCTTTGGTGTCGACTGGCCCACTACCCCCCTGGCTCAAAGAAAATAGTCCTGTTCGACAGGTATGACAAGAAGCTCCTAGCGCAAAGGAGCATGAGCAGATGAGAAGAGGAAGAGCCAAGGAAGTGCGGCTGACCCCAAACACACCGCCTTCCATGCCGACAAGCTATTCTTCACAATGCCACGAACAAGAGTCTGCTCACACATCCTATGCCGGCCTACTCTCTTCCTCACAACATCCAGCTTGTCAAACAAGCTGGACTGTGTCGTCACCCATGCCTGAGGCAGAACATCACTCTCTGCAGCTACATGCTGAAGCGGCAGCAGAAGATCCCAGACAATCCGCATCCTCAGTGATGACACAGACGTCTTCGTCCTCCTGGTGTACTGGACATCAAGGATGCGGGTCAGTTGCCAAGATTCAAATGGAAAAGTGGAATGGTGATGTCCTGATATCAACAAAACTGTTGAGGCGGTTAGGGCCCTCAGAAAGTGCAGCCAGCTTCTCGGTGTCCATGCGCTGTCAGGCTGCGATACGGTGTCGTACCCTTCGGAAAAGGAAAACGCCAGCACTCAAGGCTCCTGGAGATTGATATACCAGGTCTGGATCAAGTGCTGGAGAGCTTGGCGCGAGCCCATCTCAACTCAAAGCGACCAGCAGACAGCTTCTTCTTCCTCTCTACGGACAGGAAAAGTTGTACGACAATGAATGATGCACGTACTCGCCTCTACCGCAGCCATAAGAAGCCGCCACAACTGAAGAAACTGCCACACGACTGACGTCAACCTGCAAGCTGCATGGTGCTCCGAACTCACCTTCAGATGCTAACTGTGGGAAGGCAGCAAACCAACGTACCCACCTGAAGAAGGCTCTACATATTAACAACTTTGGTTGGAGTATCAAAGGCTCCACCATCACACCGACCATCCTCAACAGCGCCAGTTTGCTCCCAAGCGCTCCTGGATGTTTAGTGAGCTGCAAGCTGCAGCGGCAGCAGGGCAAGGCATGCAGCGGGGAACGTTGCAGCTGCAAACGGTGCAGGCCTTTCATGCACAGACTATTGCAAGTGCGAGGGAGGAGTCGCCTGTTGTAGTCAATTCACGAAAAATCAGATGGACACGAAGACAATGAAGAGGAGCTTAGGTGTAGAATGACGACAATGACAATGATGATGACTGCGGATTGAGGAGTAATGAGGATGAGGAGTCATAGAGGATTGTGACAACTACTGTTTTATTGTGTACTGTTTAAGGCTGTTTGCTATTTTCTCGTTGAATTTACATTAAAGTGTCTTTATTTTTGACCGTTTGACCTTTGTTTTGACCTTGACTTGACCCCATATCTAAAAATAACTCCAGAAATGGACTCCCTGCCCTCGAAAACCCCCCTAAACAAAGAGGTATTGCATGACACTCTAGGGCATCGAGATCACAAATTGTAAATTGACCAAAATCCAAGATCGACGGCGGCGGCCATCTTGAATTCCCAAGAAATGCTCAACGATGCACAGGTAGCAACCAAGCTAAATCAGCTCTCCTAAACTATAAGAACACATTTTCCATGAAAAAAGTTCAAAGTAATTAACATTGCAGGGTCAACATTTTGGCAACTGGACTAATACATTAGTTCTCCGATTACATGTGGATTCTCATATGCCAAGAGTAAACGGTGGTTTCCCAGCTAGGAAATAGACAATTACAGCAAATCAAGAATACCGATTCTCTATAGATAAGATGTTAACAGGTAAGCCTGATAATCATTGTGTATCGATAATGATCGCGATCTGCACGCTTATATTTTATAGCTAATAATAACGATACTGATAAGATAAAATAGATAAGAATGTTAACAGGTAGTTCGGTAATCAACTATGTAATTGATGATTGGCATCATAACGCCAGTGTATCGATAATAGCCAATCAATACGATGCACAGTGTATTGATAATAGCTAATCAATACGATGCACAGTGTATCGATCATAGCTAATCAATACGATGCTGTCGACACGAGTAACTCCTGATTATAGGTGTCTCTGCTATCGTGGCGACGCAGAGGGAAGAATGTTGTGGACCGCCCTAGCTGTCATCATGGCTTGATGCGTGAAGATTCTACCGTGATGCGCGTATCATCGTCAACATCGTCGTCAATAGTCCATCGTCACCGTCACCGTCCACGTCAACCGTCACCGTCATCGTCACCGTCACCGTCATCGTCAGTATTAACGTCATCGTCGTCATCGTAATCGTGATCGTAATTGTAAATATAAAATAGTCATATCACCACGTCATCGATGGCCATATCGTCATCGTCATCGTCATCGTCATTGTCGCTATCATCGTCATCGTCATCGTCGTAACCTTGGTAACTAGTGGCCATCTGTGCGCTAGTCTGCCGCTTTCTGATGTTCTCCCGACACCAGCATCACAATGTCACGGACTCGTGCAGAGTGACTGCGAAACAGAGAGCAATGCAACAGCTGTAAAAATTGTGGCACTTGCGCAATAACAAAATTAATGATGATGACGATGATGATGATGACGATGATGATGATGATGATGATGACGATGATGATGATGATGATGATGATGATGAA